TCAATGCAAAATCAGCTTGAAACAAGAGTTCAAGACTCTTAAATCCGGCGACAAGAAACTGCACTCTTAAGTCAATGCAATGCGGCATTGGTCCAAGAGGTTTCTTTTACCAGTGGATGCCGATACGCATTATTGCGCTTTATTGAAACAACGTGTGAACCGCTTGTAAATTGCCGGCGATTGCTAATTGCCTGCGACATATCTATTAATCTGCCATTCAGACCAATATAAAGAATCGATAAACAGGATGCTCGCAAAGAATACCTTAATAATCGATTCTTTACCATAGCTTAAGTGGGGAAATATGGATAATTGTAAACCCTCTACGTGTACTACCTTTATGAAAAGGAGTACTCTTGGAAAGTAAAAAGACAATAAAAGAAAAAGAAAGAAAAAAGAGAGAGAGAAAAACGGGCTGAAAAAATGGAAACAGAGTGAATGTCGGTTTTATCAGGATTAGAGCCATTGCTTGACGCTGTATAATGTGAGACAAACAATGACGGCGAATCTAAAGTCGTCTATAAAATGATATCAATCATTTTCTTCGAGTTTTTAATTACTTCTTTCTCTTCTGCAGCCTGATTGTTGAAACAATATATGGATTTGTTGGCGAGATGAGACAAAGAAAGAAAAAATCTAAAGGAATAAGTGAAGCTGCGAATAATTAATAGAACAAGATAAAGGTAATTCTTAGAGATAACGAGGGAGAGTTAAACGCCCGAGAAGAAAAAACTTAAGGGCAACAAACGTCGAACAAATAATTGTATTCCGACTTACGAATTCAATTTAATACAAAAAACATCACATCTTCGTTGACTGAAACGCAGAGGAAGTAAAAAATTAGAGACAAAGTTTTCTTTTTTACATTTATTTGTTTTATCCTTTTTACTTTTTTTACACCGTTCAGTGTTAAATTCGAGGAAAAAATGAATAAAAACACAAGGAAACCCCACGATATACGAGCCAGCCAACGGGCTTGACCGTACGCGAAGCATAGAAGTGAGTCAACATATTTTATCCCTAGAGATGAGAGCTTTGCTCCTGTTAAATTTAAATCCTCTAGTATCTGCCCTGGGCAGGGCTAGGAAAAAGAAGCTCCTTGAAATTTTCTGAAAAATAAGGAAAGAGCATTTTAAAGCACAGTGATGGAGGAGTATCAATGAACACCGGTCAACCACAGTTTCGATCGAATGAGCAGAGTGCCTGTTGCATCGTAACGAGAACCGCAAGCCAGGTACAAGCCCCCAGATTTGGTCAGGAAGCAGCAGAGTGCAGCACTGCAGTTCACAACCAGGCCAAAAAAAACCGCAATCGTCTTCGCTTTTCTGCCGATTCGCTTTCCTCCTGGTTTTAACTGGCGCGCTCACGGCTCAGTATACAACGAGTTAGGCGAACCGCAGTCCGATAAAGTTTTATTTCATCTCGTCACTAATTGCTTGAGCAAAAAATACAAAGCTCCAAGAACTTTTCGATCAAAAAGTATTCAAAATTCAAATGTTAAATTCATTTATGACTAGCTCATATTTTCAATGCAAGTTCAATTATTTTGGTCGGAACGAGTGATAAACTGGATTGCATTTTGCAAAAATGAACCAGGAGCATTGCAATATTGCTAAGATTATGCAACTTCATCCGTTGCAATATACGAGGAAACTAGATATTCAGGTTTTTCTTCCAAGACAAAAGAAGCTGCATAATCATAGCAGCATTGCAATGCTCCTGGTTCCTTTTTGCAAAATGAAATCCAACTATGAGAGTGAAGTATTGAGCCGCTACGGCCGTAAATAAATCAAGTGAACCTGGCCGAAATGCTGCGAGCAACTATTACTGCTCCCAAGTCGCGCACAATGCCTATCGAAATATTGAAGGCGTACTGATCGGAACGAATGAGAAACAATGTCAGTGGATTAATAACCCACTAAAGTCACGAATTATGCATGGCTCGCTGGTTTAAAATTCGAGTGACTGAAGATTCACATGCAATTAAATTATTTAGTAGTGGAAGCGTATCCTCCAAAAGACTCATTTCATAAACAGCCTCTAAAACTTGAAAGTTCTGGTATTTAAATATTTTAATGGGGCATTGGAAAGAATGAAGGGGCTCCTATTACCAAAACTGCAAGAATACAACTATGGTCTCCCAAGAGGGGGAGAAGGGACCTACAGTTTCAAAATGATGAAAATTCAGAGGTGTATCCGCAAGGCACCTCTGCAGCTTGTTTGTTGAAATTTTTTGTTGATGGCATGTGTTAAAAAGTGGAGCATGATTGGTCGGCTATGTCTTGTCGCTGCTTTAACGTGCCTTTGTTAGGTGGAATGGACGACATACTGTCGATTGGAAACTTAAGAGGTGCCTTTGACTTGTCGTGAGTTTCGTCCGACGTAGGCACGACAAATCAGCGATAAGACGTAGCCGGCCAATTACGCTTCGCCTTTTAACCTAGGTTTGTAATCTATATCTACCCGACAAACAAAAAATTTCAAAAATCAGGCGGCAGACCTCTGAGTACTCTCAAAGCTGACATTTAAACACAGGTGGTATGGGTAAGGGAGACGGGGAGACAGGGACGACCACCTCTCAAATGTTTCTTAAACTTTTTTTTACTTTCTCTCGGACAAATATATCGATGCTGCCCGCATTGGGCGCCGAAAGAAACTTGTGTGCTACATCTTGTAACTCTTTTTGAATGTTTGACAGGGAAAAAAAGACTTCTCCCTTTTTGAAGGGATTAATCCCAGGATGATAACACGATATCTCACTTGGAACCCCAAAAGTAATAGGAGGAAAAGGGGAAGATTTATCATGGAAACAACTGAAAATTGAGTTCTAGGTGTATCTAATTTTTGAAGACTCCCAAGCCCCCCTCTCCCTCTGGGGCGAAATCTCCTAAACTCCCCTTGGAAGGGCTATCAAATCATGATCGCCCCCTAACTTTGTCGATGTCAGTCC